AGGGAGTTGTCCAGGGATCGAAATAAGTGGTAATCCGATGGCGCGAGATCAGGGCTATATGGTAGGTGTAACATCAATTCCCAAGCAATATCCATCAATTTTTGCCGAGTGGACAAAGACGTGTGCGGCTTAGCCGAAAATGACACCTTTACGATTGACCAATTCTGGTCGCTTTTCCTTGACCGCTGCATTCAATTTGTCCAGTTGCTAACATTCACGGATAATAAAAAATAACATAATAATAGTAATAATAATAATTTTATAATATAACATTTACGGATATCATAAAAATGGGAGTGAGAGACATCTATAACTGAAATCGGCAATTACTTAGTTGCCAACCCAATAATACTACTAGATTGCGGCCATACTTATTTTCGCCCTCTATATCTGCGCAAACTACTTCATTTTACGAGGACGCAACTCGAAGTTGGACGTATAGAATTCATAATATTGAAAGTAATTGCTAGACTGCAGATATTTATGCAAAAAGGACTCCTGCGTCGATTGCGATAAAAATCGGGAGGAATTGAAAAATTCCTTTTTGCCTTCATAATTTTAGTAAGCTGTTAATAATCCCATTTTATAGCCATAACTGCATAAAATCCGTTGTCTAATAACGACTAATTCGTATAGTTGTTGAGTTAAAATGACTAAAGAAGTCGATGCGACGTTGAACGTTGAAGAGGAATAAAAATTTTACTCAAAATAATGATGTTACTTGCAAAGATGATTTTGTTCACTGCTCGAGAAGTATTAACATTTCGATCGAGTTATTTGTAGTCGGTAATTTAAGGTCTGCCAGTGGTCGGACGAACACAGAGCCGGTTCCAACGGGCGGAACAACGAACCTCGATCCAGCGAGGGTAATTAAAAAATATATCGTAGACCGTTTCCAATTCTTGTACAGCGCTCTGAAACAGCCTTGTCCTTTCGGCTGGTTTTTGTTTTGTATCGGGGAGCTTTGAAATAGTAGCAAGCGTAAAGCGATTCCGAAACGGCACAGCCGTACAGGAGATCTCGAAAAAATTCTGGTGCACTCCGCGAACGCGGGACAGATGGAGAGGATTTCTGGAATGAACCGTGACGCGAAATACAACATCCACTGCAGAGAACACCGTCTGCATTTTATGGTCGATTGTAAAACATAGGGTATTGACCACGCAACTTCGGCAATTGTAAACTCGGCGGAAATGGAATTGCTGTTGTCGGACACGGGCTTTTGAATTTTTAAAACGCCGGCCGCGTTACAGGTAATTGGTGAAGACATTCGACGAGGGCGAGCCGGAACAATTTCAATTTCGACGCCCCGATAGTTGCGTTGCGCATCGACAGGTATTAAGAGACGATTTCCTCGACAAACAGAACCTCACACTTTGTTCTATAATACTTTCGCTTCATTTTTCATAGAAACGGCGGAGGTCGATTGTTCGATTGTGGAGCAATCTTTTTGTTTATTTATTCTTCCATGGGAATAACCCCTAAAAAATACGCAAGGAATTAATAAATACAACTATGGTAAAACACGCTCACTGGGCAGAAAAGGTTTTTCTTATTTATACAAACTGATGAACGTGTTAAATAGATCAATATAATTAATTGATTTGTTTAATTTCTAATTTTGTATTCCGTTTTTGTTCCAGGCTTACATTACCCCAAAGCGAGAACCTCTTTACCCCATATGCGAGGCAAAGAGAGAGCTAATTACTTCGTTAGTTTATATACAGTTTTAAAACTACTTGAAGGTTATTTTCAAATGCGATGCTTTGGAATGATTTAGAGAAGATGTTTTTCCGCGTATTTGATATACGCGGTTCCCTACGATTTGTTAAGATGATAGGGATAATAAGCTGTGTTTCCTTCTTTTTTTCTTTAACTTGTAATATATTTGAATGATAAACTTAACACCGATTCAGAGTAGATTTTATGGCGAATAGACTATTTTGTGTTCGGGTCGATGGTAGACCACCCGTTGTCTGTGTGTGTTCTCGGAGGTAAACTCGGTGTGGGTGTGTTCTAAAATTGAGATAGTCGGATTCGTGGATTATTCAATTCTTGCGAGAAGTGAGGTTTGCAAAATTATGAAAGTGACCGCCCGAAACTAAGGATCACCCGCAGGTAGTGCTAGTACCCTCGGGTGACGCACACGAAGAATCCGAGTGTCCCAAGAATTAGCCATAGCAAACAATAGTCCGGAAAATGAATTTTCTCGATGGAACATGCATACCATAAAAAAAACGACTGAGAAATGACATTTGGTGACCAACTGTGGATCATATAAAGGAAATACTTGAGTAGAAGAAGGAAACGGCTTTCAACGAAATTGCTTACTACGTGTGGTCTGGAATTTCGGTTGTTCTGTCCAAGTGTAATTTATGAAGATTCCGTCATACAACGGAGAACAGAAGATATTCAGTTATAATTAAAATTTTGTTTTTACTATTATATTACCAAAGAAAATACTTTAAATTCTTCTCCGAACTTTTCTAAGCTGACTTTGACCTGGTCTCCCCTATCGGAGGAGAACCTATGCTGCACTCCTTCCATTTAATCGTTTAATTAACACTTAGCCGACCGATCGGGTAGATCTACCCATTTCCAAGCTAGTCGGTAGCCGACCGATCGGGTAGATCTACCCCATTTTGATCTGAGAAACGCTTCTTTCTCTGTAGAACTTCTTATTTCTATACAGTACAAAACATAATTATAATAACATGCACTAATTTTTGAAGTCTTTTATTGCCCATTATTACGATTCTTTATGTTCGGGATTTTCGAAGGTGCCTCTACCAGCTATAAGATTATTTTAATCGAAGCTCAACTTGCAAATATTAG